TGATGATGATGATGATAATACATTGATGACGATGATGATGGTTTATTAGCATACAACTTTCTTACACAGAATATGTTTTTGGAAGTCCACACGAAGCATGTAATCTTGACAATAACCGTTGCTCCAAATCAATCACTGTTTCGCCTATAGTTTCATCAAACGTCCCCCGATCATAATCCATGACTTTAACCGTGAGATCTTTAACCGTTGGGAGTGAAGCTCTGAACTCAAACATTCTGGGGAAGACAAAAAAGAGAATTTAAAATAAATTAGGTTTGTTGACTCGTTAATAAATGACTCCTTACAGCAAGTTACAGCAAAACTGACAAAACCTGCAGTGTAATATTCAGTTTGTTGTTGAACTCAACAAAACCCAAGCAAATAACTGCCATAACCATTGCGAATCCAGATGGACAACGCCCAAAGTGTCATCCCGAAAGGATCAGTCCCACATCACATACATTTATTCAACCGAACTTTCCTTTTGAAAAACTCTTTGAAAATACAGGAGAAAAAAGGATGATTGGATTTATATTTGTCCTGCAAATTTAGTTCGACTGTGCAATTATTTAGAGCAGCAAGTTTTCTACGGCAGTAAAAAAAAAAATTTTTCCTTCTCTAGAGATGAATTTTAGCATCGTTTTTCCCTTACTTTCCAAAGACAGGCTTCAATGTGTTATGTTTGCAAACACTCTTTTCGTCATATGTTTTATTACCAAGAGAAACAACTAGATAAGGATCCGCCTGAAACACGAAGAACAACAATTGGTAAGTTTTTTTGTGGGTGATCGTAGCTTAATAGAAGCACTGGTGACGTAGCGGTGAGAGCGCTCGCCTCTCACCAATGCGAGCGACCCGGGTTCGAGGTTCTCTCCTGTGCTTGTTGGTTCTTTCCTGTGCTTCGATGTTTTTTCCGGGTTCTACGGCTTTCCTCCATCCGCAAAAATCAACTTCTTAATTAATTCCAATTGGAATCCAGTGGAAGAAGAGCCATTCTGTGGAATCCACTGTGAACCCCATTATTATTATTTTCATTATTTATTATTTATATTATTAATAATTGTTCCCATTCACTCATTCATCTCATCTCGTCTTATCCTATTTATCGACGACTCATGCATTCAAATTCAATCAGCCACACATTCATCTCTCCATACGTCCATCCATCCGGTCTATCAAACCGTTTTCACAACAAGCCTGAGTTCTCTGAATATCGAAAAGCGCAGTAACCATCCATTCTCCATGCCTCGTATCTATTAACCCGTCCATTTACTCCATGCCTGGATCCATCTGTCTCAATCCTATTAATCCCATCCATCCAATCCATTCTATACCATTCAATGTATCTTTTCCATTCYATCTGTCCATCCATATATAAATGAGATAACGTTATTACTTACAAGTCCGTTTGGGTCATGGGATTGTAGGTCAAAAGCCTGAAATTACACATCGAAGTTTAACTTTAAAATCAAGTCCTAAGTTTCCATTGAATCAATGATCAGTTGAGTTAAATACATACACATATGACGTAAGCTCGAACAAGGCACTTAATTGGCCACTTCCACTTGGTTTCAGGAAGGTTCGCATATACACTAGCAGGAAGTTCCTTTTTGCTTTGATCTTCTTTGATTTGATAAATCCAAAAACTTGCCTGTAAAGACAAGAGTAATTTTTTCATTACTAACCTCAGTGAATTACCATCATCATCATCATCATTAGTAGGATTGTCATCATTACAATGAGCAACATCGTTTAATATTATTATGATCGTTATAATAATTATCATTACTACTACTACTACCACTAACACCATTATATTTATTATATATAACAAAATTATCCTGATCACTGTCATTTCTACTACCAGCACAACACGCACTAGTCTCCTGCCCCATGAACATAATTTTATCATGAACGTCATCATAGCCGTCACCGCTGCCACCAGTATCATCATCATCCAGCACCACCAATGGCACATAGCACCATTACCATTATAATCATCATCGTTACCTCTTTTACTATTATTTTAATTGATCGCTGTCATCATTACCTCAATCACCAACCAACCATTCCATTATGCATTATCATCATCAGAGGCTTTCCATTATACTATTCTTATTTTCACTAACCTTCAGTTGRCCTATGTTGTCATCCTCATCTTCATCATCACCTTTAGATTTTCCTCGCTTCAGATTAAACGTTCCAACAAAGTCTTCCAAGCCTCCAAATTCTTCCATTTTTTCGAGCTCCTTTGGGAAAATCTACGGATAAAGTGCCTTTAAAATGAGTGAAACTATCTCTGATTTGTATTWAAAAAAAGTATTGATTTTTGCATCTCTTTTGCAACTTTTTTGTATTTTCTGCGGGAAGGAAATAGTTGCAGTGGAGATTGCATGTGTCTTACAACGAAACCTCTTTAACGAGATTTTGATTAAAGAGTATATCTGCACCGTCTTCAAGGAAATTGCTTTGAGCCCAAAAGAAATGGAAAGCAATCAAACAATATATAAACCTAGTCGATAACCTTGTCCAAGGCTCCATCTTCTCACCAGCAGACCTCAGTATATCTTGGGCATAATGTTTTCCCAAAATAGTCAGACCACGTGTCATTCCCTAGAATATCTTCTGCTCAAGAGAATGACAAGTGGTCAAAAATGAGAGAAAATTCCGTCCAAGCTAAAAGGAATATAGGAATAAGTCGGATAGTCCCATGCGCCATCTTGGAAGGTACTGTGCCTGTGCATCGAAGCGAGAACGGCATTGACCTTGCAATGATAGAGACCTTTATTAACAACATTTCTCTATGATAGCAAGGTCACCAACGTCCTTGCTACGATGCACAGGCGCGGTTACCTTTCAAGATGCCGCAGGAACAAGAATCCATAGCAACATTAACTTACCTTTAGTGTGTCATGGCCTGATTTCTTGTAATGGTCAAGGTGATCTCCACCATCAACATCGTCCCCAGAAGAAAACACACCAAAGAGCTTGCGAGACAAACATGAATATGTATATGAGATTTCTATCGAGTATGGAGAAGGTTTATTTAAAGAAAAGGCATATTTATGGCGGGAAACCGGACAAAATGAAATAGGTTTGGCTTGCACATCGACTCTATAAAATGGGAGGTAAATAGTCCTCTATCTCATTCAATGCATACCACTGCTTTTCGAAGACCACAAACTCATTTGTACAGGTTTCGTGTATAAATTAGATACCAGCCATCAAGAGTGTGAGATTTCAAATCAATGGTATTGTTCAAGGTACATTTTACATTACAGTTGACTTTTGCGAATAATTTTCTCTTAAACAAGGCTAAACCTGTAGAAACAAGCCTAGCCAAAAAACTACGGTATACACCTATTTTCAAAAACGTTGTCATCGACAAAGGCAATAGGCGATAGGTTATTCCGAAATGGTTTCGTTGAATACAAAGAATAAGTCTCAACACTAGGGTCCATGATTTTGACGAGAATAAGAAGCAGAAACACAAGTAATTTCAGCTATTCTTGGATCTTGGAATGACCTATCCTATTGCTTTTCACCTATCACCCTTCTTTGAAATAGGTATATCTAGGTCTTCGGCTTACTTTGTCGCTCAGTTTCTCTTGTCTCTCAACTTCTGCACCTGTTCCATTGGAGTCTTCTCTCACTGAGCTGTAGTATTTTGACCACCAATCAAATGCGTCTTCGCCCTTTACAACAAGATAAAAGATAGTGCAATTTTTTTAGATAAAAATCATGGTACGTCAGATTGATTCAAGCTCTATTATTGTATTTTATCTTACCTTTTTGTGAACTTCTCTATGTCTCACTGGCTTCACTGGTGATGGTGTCAGCGGCCCATCTGTGCCATAATCCGCAGATAAATATCAATTATTATTAATATTGTCTAATATTGCCCCTTGCAGTACGTCGGAATGCAGCTCAATTTGGAGGACATAACAATAGGTTTCTAATTCTCATGAGATTGAAATTCTTTTGTTTTGTCCTACAAATTGAGTTGCTTTGACATCACATGCAAGGGGTATATATACTATACAGTCTATATACTGAGTTAGCGAACCAATGAGAACAGGCTTTGAGTTCATTAATCATTGTAGTTCAAAATCTCCATAAAAAATTGTCTTATTTGATTGACATCTTCGTACCTGGTTCATCCATAGTTGGTCCTCTTCTCAACATTGGTCTCTTCTCAGAGTAATATTTCGTCAGCGATGAGATAGATTGAATACCAACTAATGGTTTGTTGTTAAACATGCGGTTATCGTAGACACGTATATTTAAGGCAGGAGTGAATGGTTCAACTGGCAGACACTAAACAAAACATTTACCTCACATCAAATTTAAAACAAAATGATACATTATTAACTTCTGAAGAGCTTCACATTGTTCTAAGCACATAAATAATCCAGCTAAGTTGACCTTCAGAACAAACTCAAGATCAACCAATCAGAATTGAGGATTCAACATTATATTTTGATTAGCATTTCCCATGATTCTGCCAAAACAACTCAAGAAATAGGATTTTTTGCTTCAAATTTACGGCACATGCTACTAGTTGAACTCATGGTGGCATTCTAGTTCATTCAACACGAGAAATCTACATTGTACTCAGCCCCCGCTAGGAAAATGCTAACCAAAAATAATCAGTTGACCCATAATCCTTTTCGGGGAACGGAGTCAACTCAGCTGGATTATACTTACAATTTTTACAGTTTTGATGAAAACTGATCGAGAATGAGTATTAAAAAACAGGCGCGGATCTAGGGGAACTTTATCGGGTGCTCGTACATCCCTTAGATTACTTCGTGTGCACACGAAGTACTCACCACGAGTTTTCTTGTCAGGTTTGGCTTGGAAAAGTTGGGGTATTTCTTGAGATTCTCCATTTCTGACTTGAAGACTTGTTCTCCCCATTCGAACTCGACGTTTGGCGCATTGACTTTACTGTATTTGTATTTCTTCATATTACGAACGCCCCAGCACAGTATCTGGAAAATATTAGGAGTCATTTATGAGTTTAACTGCAGATGTCATTAACTATTTAAACATCAATCTCTGACACTTCTGATACGGACATTAGACTCGAGTAAGGGAATCCTGTGGTTTTGAACCCATAACCGTAACCCTACCTCTACAGCCACTGTTTGCAGCTCAGGTCGTACGAGGTCCCGTACAGGAAGAACTGGATGAGCCTTCGTTGAATCTGTTTTCTTAGGAGTAGGACTAGCTGGTAGCTTCTCACCTTCGTTCTTTAGCAAAACAATAGACAGTGTTAACAGTGTTAAGTCATAAGTCAATCAGTAGTCGTTGTTGGTCGGATATTGTGAGGACATTGGTCGGTCGATTTTGTAGTATATGATGAGTAAATAGATCGTCTTGACCACGTGTCATTCCCTTGAGAATACTGAGATTCTTTGTTTAAGTTGTATCCATGTTTATATGTATTCTCATGCGCAACCGTCAAACAAAGAAATGGCATTTAAGGGATGACACCTAGTCGGGAATAGGAGAACCGATGGGGACAACCTTACCAGAAATAGTTCAGCGGCAGCCAACACTTGTCCTGCATTTTTCTTTCCGTTCTGAAGACCAACCCACTGCAGGACAGGAGGCGTCGCACCAGATCTGGTTTGGACCAGCGGTTGCATCATACAGCGACCAATAAAATCGTGCTTGCCCTACGAAATATTTCGTACAAAATCAGAAAGATGATGACGGTATGTTTATAAATAATGACCAGTCCCTAAAAAGCATTTGAATCTCATTTTTTCTGTTCCAAATGGTGGTCAAACAATGGGTTTTACTCAAGCTAAAAGGGGCAGCCATGTTTATTCTCATGAGATGAGAACCTTTTTTTAAACTGCATAAAGTTATTCTCATGCACTTGAATAGGAGGCTGTTCGTGGTGCTGTCAGCCAGAAAGAATTCTGCAAGAGACAGGAAATGAGGTCAAGTGAAGCCAAGAAATTGTGTGACTTACAGGGTCCCAGTCAAACACTTCCATGATGATCTTGGGAGAATTACCAACAACATCTTCTACTTTTTCGAATATCTCAACCTGGGAGAAGATCAGTGTTTCATCCCACGTTGGACTAGTGGTCTGACGCTTCCATTCTGTCATCTGACTTTGGTTGCCAAAGGCAACACGAACGTAAGGATCTGCGTGAAAAGATGTAACACACTGACGGTCACTTCTGGGTTCCCTTATTGGGGGAAGGGGGTCTGAGTACTCCGTTTTTGTCTCAGACACTTGTTTTTAGCATTGCTACCAGCTGATTGATACAAAAGTTGCGACAGGTTAAAAAAAGAAAAAAGAAAAAGAAAATTAAAAAAAGAAAACAACAACAACAACAAATAAACAAACAAAAAAAAAACAAAAAAACCTCTGTGTTTTATGACTGAAGACTCATTTGCACAGGCCTTTGAGCTGTGAGCAGTTGGATCCGTAAATACGTCACAACTTAAAAGCTCTATGAAATACGTACCGCTCATTCCACTGTCATCCAAGGCAAGCAGGTCACGTGCTTGGTAGATGTAGACCCAAAGTTGGTACTTGTGAGGTTCTGTAGAAAAAAATGATATCTTTATCTAAGTAATAATAACCAATTGAGGTTCCCCCTAGAAAGTATAAATTTATTACTATATGAATTTATTAACGTAAAGTCAATCTTTTAAAGCCATACTTGCATAGTCTTTGCTAACTGCCAATAGCGACAGACTTTAGAAACGAGAATGTTAAGTAATTGAACTAAGAGTATTTTTTACGTGAACAAGTCAACCTAATCTTTTTGCCAACATTCTTTGGCCTTCGCTGTAAGATGTCATCTTTATCCAAAACCACAAGAAATCGATCATTTTAGGGAGCATATTAATTACACAGGGATCCCACCCAATGGAACGTCAGGATTAGTGTTGCTGTTCGTCATGGCGGCTCCTCACAGCAAATGACGTCACTTACTATTGTATACGATGAACATCCGGGGTATTACAGTTATGTGACCTTCTCGTTCTTCATCGTCRAGGAGTTTCTCTGATTCTTTGCTTTTCTCTTTTGTCTTGGTTTTCTTCTTAACGAAATAAGGCATCAAATAGAATCACCAGGGTAATTACTAGGGATGTCTATAATTCATCTCTATCTCCCCTCCCCCATACAAATTTATGTACTCTCGCAAATGTTCGACAAAGCTGGCCATGATCAAAAATGACTTACCATAGGGTAGCCAGAGTTACCTATCGGAGGGTCACTTCCCGCTAAATAATTCCTCTCCCGCTCCCCTCCCCTCCCCTAATACAATTTCTTTCCTTCCTAAATCTATGAAATCCAGCTCCCCTGTCTCCATGGATCCCTGCTCGGTAAGCATAAGAAGTATTAGCATAGATTTACTTACAGATTTTGATGTTTTGATTTTTATCATCAGTTTTGGGGGTAGTTCAGCCTTCTTAAGGGTGGGATCTTTTTCGTGAACCAGTTCTCGAAGCAAGCGTTTTCTTCTCACTAAATCACTTGCTCTTGGTTTCACGTGGAATTTGCTTTTCACAAACGTCAAACTGTACTCCCAGCCTTCCTCGGCAAGCTTTCTCAACTTTTCCTAAAGAAATCAGAATTGTCAGTTTGATAAACCGGTTCTTATTACATTATGACATTTTCAGTTCAGTGATTCTGAATACTTTTCTCAATGCTTAAAATGCTTTTACATTATTCGTCTTATTATCATTTAGCTGAATAAATTTCATAACTCTCATTACCAGCCTTCTAAAAAGCAAACACTGCCCCCAGGCCCCCGTGCGATATCATCCATCCATACACTTGGCATTCGACAGCTGGTAGAAAATTCCAAACGAGACCGGAAATGATGTCTATTTATAGCGACCTTGTAAAATGTCGTCACAACACCAAAAAGTAAAATGCTCTGCTCTACGGCATGCCAGCTTCTCTATTTCCCACCACCACGAAAACTGCTCAAGAAGCTAAGAATATATTGCAATTGTCTACCTGTTTTCTTGCAGCACCAGGATCAACAAGTTCCCGTGTACAAATCCATCGACGCCTTCGCGTCATGTGCAGTGGTTTGACCGCCTTGACGAAGTTTGCGCCAGTCTCGCTGTACTCCCAACCTTCTTCATCAACAGCTCGATCTAAATCAACAGTCCATTCTTTAGATATCCATTGCCATCCCTCGGGACGAGGGAAATCTGCGGGACTATCTGATGGTTCCCCATCCTGTCAATCAAAAAATAATATAGTATTCAGTGTACAATAGGTGCTGGACTGCCTGTGGTAAATGGACTACTTTGACGATCCGGCTGCCATCTTGAATCACAAGGCATTATGGATCATCTAAGGGACAAATATACGAAGCTTTGTTACAATAATGGCGTCGATTGACATTTACGGCTCAAAACGACAAGACAATTTGACAAGAGATGAATTAAAATAAATGAATAGTTCCACAACTGAGGAAATTTCTCAAATATCGTGGGATCATCATTTCAGCATCTTCGTTTTGCTTGTCCCCCTGGGCGACCCATAATGCCTTGCGATTCAAGATGGTCGCCGCATCGTCGAAGTAGTCCATTGACTGTTATGCTTATCCATCCAGGCCCTGAAACAAAGGGTTCTCAGCTTTGATTTGAGTTTTCTAAGCATTACCGCCTCAGTCCAGTGCGATTTGGTATTCCATCCTCCACCCAAAAGATTTCTACTTTGGCTCTCGTAGATTTTTTCTGTAAAGATTGTCAGACCATAATCACGACCATAAAGTACGCTAACCAACCAAACAAAGATAATAAATTAGAAATATCGATATTTGAATCAAGTGAAATATTGGCCTTCCTGGTGTTGTGCGCGGAAAACTGGTGAAGAGTAAGACGCACGCAAAATCATGGTGCTCTTTTATGACGCCATTTGTCTTTTTCGTTTTACAAATTTTCAAAATTTAATCGGGTCACATTTATTTTGGTTTTCAGTCTGTTTTTCAGAGTTTGCCAAGCTTTTCACCATATTGAAAAAAGGCGTTCCCTAAAACAGTCACTTATGACTCAGCGCGCGTCCTTCTTGTTACAAGCCAAACCGCTCGCTTCGATCCCCCCCCCCCCCCCTTTACCAAAATCCTTACTTCTAATTGTAAATAATAGGAACTCACCTCTTTTCGAGAATTGGTTTCCATTCTCCACTTAGCCGCCAGCTTTTTGGTTCGACAAACATGTCTTTATGTAATTCCATCTGTTGATTGTTTGGGAGCAGTTGGAATAATTAGCTAAATGTCATTACGTTTAAGTAACGCATATGCAAGAGAGAGGGGGGGATGAAGTGAAAACATAAATAACAGAAAAGCCATAAGCAACTAAATGGATGCATTTCTAAAATAAGCCTTTGATTTGGGCTACTAACCTAATTATTAATAATGATACTAATTGCAACAATCCTGAAAAGAGTTTATAACACTTACGTCACCACTTGCATTGGAGTAATGAGGTCGAAGCCCAATTCCTGGCTTACTCCACCCCAGGACTCCTCTTGTCTCATTCTCGTACTGAAACAATCGGAATATCAAATTATTACATCAGCGTACTATAAAGAGTCACGTGACTCCTCACGTGACTAATATCTGCCATACTCATAAATGATTGGGATGTATTGCTTATACTTACAGTCTCTGCGTACACTTTAAACTTCGAATTCCCCTCCTGATCTTCACGTGTACTCCATACATGCTGATGTTCTCTAAGGCCTACCCATAATTCAACGCGAACCATAGCCGGGATATGCTGATGCTCCCTATCACCAGTCGCTTGATTCCCAGGATACTGAAAACAAAATAGTAATAATATAAGTGAAGGATGCCTGTATGGGGATTTTAGAAGGCAATGTTTTGTCAATGTCTTCCAGCATGGCAGCCATGACGTCACATTCTCTCAACTATTCCCGTCCCCTAGATGTCCCCTTGATATAAAAATCCTCAGCTTCGGATGRCGATGCAGCTATTTATTCAATAAATAAAAACAAATCATCTAATATATACCTTCATTAAGAGTTCTACTGTTTTTCCACAATATTTGCCACAGGCTTCTTCGTTAGTCGAGTACAAAACATCTTGTATTGGTATCCTGTGGTAGGCTACTCTTTTCTCACCACAAAGCATCCAGATGATGACGTCAGGCATACTAATCTGAGGCTGAAAACATCAAATGAATTATATATAGTCGAAAATAGTAATATGAATTAGTAATAAATGGAATGCACGGAAATTATGTCCCTCGTTTAATGATTACTGGTATGCATTCCTTCCAATGAGAACAAATGGACAAAAGACGTGGCCGCCATGTTGGTTGACATGACAAAAGGCATCAAGAGCAAATATATATTTTGTCAAAGTAAACCAAAATGGCGGCCATGATGTCACAATATGTCAAATATGCCAATAACCTTCGCGGAGATAAGGTATCGCTATTTTTTTCAATTTTTCCTTAATAAGAATCAATTTATGTACCAATCCAATAATAAAGAACTGCTGCTTAGGCAGTGGCGGATCCAGGACTTTAAGAGGGGGGGTTCATTTTTGCAAATCTCGGCACAACAATAATGTTCTCTTGTATCATCATTTTTCCCATAAGGCACATCACTGGCCTAGGGGCGCTCCTGATAAGGATAACCTATCCACCAGTCACATTTCATATTAAATCTCATGAGTTAGTAACATACTTTTATTTATTTAAAAATATATATAAAAATCGAAGGTACCAGCCGGTGGGGGGGGGGGGGGGTTCATTTGCACCCAATGAGCCCCCCCCCCCTAAATCCGCCATAGTTAGGAGTTAGGGACTTTGATATTTTCCCTAAAATCCTCATCTCATTGTCAGGATTTGAGAGACAAGACTAAAGAACCTGGAAAAGCCTAGGAGTCACCTCTAGAGGTCTGGTGGTTAACAATGATAAGTGCATTAACACTTTATGAATATGTATCCTTTTTCATACCTCTATTGCCAGGTTTTTCAAGCGTTGTAGAACTCCTTCCATCTTCTCCATGGTTTCGTTCAGGTTCACCTGACCTCCCTCCAAGTCCAATTTCTCCTCTTCATTTTTGGCATCTTCAACGATATATTGCTATAAAGGAAGACAAAACAACAAATATAAAATTGATTGTTAAATTAGTTACATAGGATTCATAAATTGCAGTGTTTAGTTACTTACAAACTCTTCTTTCCGTAGCTTCTGTATTTTATAATCAAGACTGTTTTTGACTCCAGGGGCTTCTAGGAACTCGGTGTCGCTGGAAAAGAGATCAAATTTTGTCTTAGAATCGAAGAACCTTCATCAGACCACGTGTCACTCTCTTGAAAATAAGATTCTTTGTTTCAGTTGTGTGTAAATTTATGTGTCTTCTCATGCAAAACAAGGAAATGATACTCTGGATAATGACACGTGGTCTGAAATGGAAAAACATGGAACCTTAATTTATCACGCAGTGCATGTTTGTTCTCATGAGAATAAATTAAAATCTTTGTTTAACCCGCAAAAAATTTATACTCAGGCACTTGAATTCAAGGCTACGCGTGGTGGAATATATTGTTCGAACCAACATGGCTGCCGCGTAAGACGACCCCTTGCCTACAAGCTAAAAATGGTTTATTTTTATTTCACTAAAACGTTTTGAGCTGAAAATACAATTACCTGCACATCTCTATTATTTCCTGAAAACATGACTTCAGTAATGCGACACCAGCCAAAACGTCATTTTCAAGAATCTTTTCAAACTTCACCTTGACTTGGTTCACCAAGATTTCCTGTTATTCATTTTGAAAAAATAGTTTAATATCTTTGCATTTCTACATGCTCCACGGCACGGGTTTGATTCTTGGTCTCTCTTGATTCAAGGGTTTTTGTCTGGGCTCTCCGGTTTTCCTCTTTCTGCAAAACCTAACACCTTTTTTTTTTCCCTACGCAACGTATACTGAGGCCCTTTCAAATTCTGGGTTTGGTAGGACTCTGAAGGTAGTTATAAAAAAGAAGAACGTGGAGCATTCTAATTCTACTTTTTATCATAATCATTTACTTATTTTCATCATATTAACAAAATCAACGAAAATAAACAACATACCAGTTTTTCACACAATCTGTTGATAATGTTCAGGGGTTCGATCCTAAAGGCTATGTTCTCCCAACGACAGTCTAGACAGATGCAAGGTTTGTAGTGTCTCCATGGTAGGTAGTGATAATGACAGCCATCATAGACAGGGTTTGTCGGGGGAGTGTTACAAGAAACCGCTGTCTCATCTAACGTGTTACCAAAATTCCCTGGAACGATAAGAATTCGATGTTTGAGATTTTGCCCACGGACCGTTACTCCACCATAGAAAACAGAGTCCCCTTCGAGGCACATTCAATACCAATTTAAAACCCTCTTAAAATTGCCAAACCTATCACGACACTGAGGGAAGTCAGCTGAAGTCATTGCCAGGGATTTCTTTTAGTCCTTCGTATTTTTCACGTCCCTCCCATACAGGATGAAGCTGTTTGGAAAGAGGGGACTATCGTTATACGTAGTCATCTGGACCACATGAAACCTGAAGTATTCGATTTTCTGGTTATTCGAAATTTACCTTAAGGTGGCTGCCTACTTTTGAACGTTCGATTTGAGCCCACGATGTGCGCGCGCTCAAAAACCGCTGAAA